CGAATCGACGAATCTAACTAACAAATGTATATCCGTTCCGTTGTTTCAGGGTGTTGAAACCCCCTGGTGGCGGAAGCAGCGACATTTTCGGCGCGGGTCCCGACGAGACTAGCCCTCGCCGCGTGAAGAACCACAACCAGTCGCAGCTGGGCTCGGCGTTGTTCGGCGACACACCGAACAACAGCAACAGCAACGAAACGCCGCGCAACAAGCCCGGTAATGATTCATACAATCGCCTGTTTGGCCCTCCCGATGCCCCACCCACCACCCCAAACGCGAAAAATTACATGCGCAGCAATATCTCCCTCAGCGGGGAGTCGACGTCCTCATCGGTGTCATCGGGCGCCGCAACGTCGCCCGCGAAGAGCACCGGAAGTACGGACTCGATCGCGGGCGTTCTCAACGGATACGCGGCCAGCAATGGCAACAATATGACCAACGATGTCACAGGTAAGGGTGTTGTAAATTCTCCTTCCGCGAAAGAAAAAAAAAAAAAAAAAAAAAAAAAAGAGAGAGAAAAGAAAGAGATACAGAAAAAAAGAAAGAAAAGAATAAAAAAGAAAAAGAAACGCATCCACGACCCACCCCGCCCTCCTCCTGACGACACCCACACCCCGCAGTTGTACTTGTTGAAGGGAAGGAAAAAAGAAAGTAATGGAAAAGAAAACGAGGATTTCGTCAGGTGAACTGGTGTACGGTGCGAGCGCGAGGGAACGCGGCTACGAGTTTTTTCTGGTGTTCCGTGCTGGACATTAGTGCATTGCAATTTTTTTTTTTTTCTTTTTTGGAAATTCGCTTCCAAAGTTAGTGGTTTTTGTTTGAAATGAATTGACTGATTGCTCGTTTGTACGCTTATGTTTGTACCGAACTTGTCGCGGTAAGTGATTTGCAAAATGAAGGTCTTATCAGTAGAACTGCAGATAGGAAGTTGTAATAAAAGACAGTCAAGTGAACTATCGATCGGTATGATTTGGTTTCACGAGTAATTTCTATCATTGGAAATTAAATTTTAGCCACGTGAATACGAATTTCTACAACGTGGAGAGTAAAGACAGAGTAATGGGCAAATGACTCGAATTCTACTTTCAACTTATGTATAAAATAGTAAACAAACGATCGACAAAATTGCAAATCAAACGCAATAAAGCGAAATTAACGGATCGAAAATGTATCACTGTCCGTGAAGATAGCAATTTTCCATTCTGATAGTTCTAGTGCTAAGTATAATATTATAGCAGTGCAGTGTTAACTAGCCAGTAATAAAATAAAATGGTATAAAAGGTTGTAAATATTTCCGTTTCAATAGTATTCAACAAACTCAAGATTTTTTTTTAGAAATTTTAGTCCAGGCCAGTTAACAAAACACTACTATTCGTAGTATACTATTCATATGGTGGAGGCAACCCCCATAACGGCCTTGCACAGTCAATTTATTTCGAACAAGCTATACCTGAATTGTTGCGTACAATGCAATTACCTTTACATGGTAAACGTGGAACGAATTCTTTCTTTCTTT